AAAAAAAAAGCACACTCACATAGTACATGAATCAGTCTTGATAGTTCATCAAAACGAATATCGAATTCAAGGAAGAAAATTCTGTGGTTTTATTTGCGAGTGCGCAGGTGTCGCCTCTTCAAATCGCCCGTGAGGTAGGTTAATTAGGTCAATCTTTCCTCAAATTTATAATTCAGGCGACAACCGTCCTATATTTCAGAAAACCAGTTTCGATGTCGAAGCGGAAAAAGATAAGAACTCCATTTTCTCAATTGTCAAGACTTGAACGCTGATCTAAATTTATTTAGATTTCCTGATTAGAATCAGTCATTACTTCTGATTTTAAAACCGAAATCTCAGAAGGTGGGCGATCAATCCCGTGTTCCAGATGCTCGTCCACTGGCAACTCGGTAAAAATTGAAGAATAATCCTTTGCACAAGCTTTTCTTCCCACATGTTTCTCAAAATCTTTCTCCACTTCGAAAAACGACTCTGACAACATAAACTTCAGGGCAGCGATATATACAGTATTTCAATCTCATGAAACGAAAATATATTTTCGAAACAAGGTTCATTCCTACCAAGTTTTCTGCATTTTCATGAACACTTCATTAAAAATATCAGAAGATTCCCTAAACTTTTGCTCTTGAATCCCAAAGAATTCTCAAATCGGCTTCGGCAAAAACGATTTACAGTATCAGAAAACAAAAATCGCAAATAAGCTGTCAACAAATTTCGGTGAACTCAAATTTTCAGGTTACCTACTTTTTCTCGGCTTCTCAACGACTGAAATTTTGAAATACTGTAAAAAAAATTAGTTTTCTCGAATTATCGAAAGTCGATGTAGAAAAAAATATTTATAATATTGAACGAAGCCCCTTTAAACTCTATACAGCAGCACATCTATCGTTTAATACTTCCATAATAAGGAAGAAAAAAGTATTCAATATTCAGACTACTTCATGAGGAGGATAAATTGAAAATAACATTCAATAGGATTTATTCGAATTCAAACTGGAAAGCATAAATTCTAAATAGCGAATCCCGAGTGTCTCACATTTTTTCGCAAGCGCCCTCTCAGCATCATCCGTCGGTATCTTGACAACTTCATACTGGTGATCCTTGCCCTTATTGAGATCCTCCAAAGAATTGTAAATGTTGAGGTTGGGATTCGTCTCGTCCGCCTCACGAGACTTCGCATTGCTCAAGGTCAGGAACCCGTCCACGCCACCGGGTGGCGGCCAAGCGTATCCCGCAGCGCCGCCTTCGCCGCAGCCATCAGCCGCCGAATCCACCAAATCCGAAGACGATTCGCCAATCTTGGTCCAGGACACGTCGAAGTTGTTTTGCTGAACGTGGTGTTGGTGGTGTGGTTGTTGTTGCTGTTCGGCTTCGAGTTGCTTCGCTGCACGGGCCGCAGTGTCAAGCTCGCTCAAGGAGTTGACAATCTCTGGGGGACGAACGCGGACGACGCCGTTGCCGTACACAGGGTTATTGAACAGTCGCCCATCAGCTGTTGTAAAAGAAATGATAAAAAAGTCAGATTTTGGAAAACTTGCATTGGAATTTAATTCAGGAAAATTTGGATTATAATTTAATTCTGGATAATTCGGATTAGAATTTAATTTCGAAAAATTTATTGGAATATACATTCACCAATATTCATGAGGACTGACTTAGATGAAATAAATATGTGAACAAATTTGGATCAGAAAAAAATGCTGACAAATTTGGATCAGAATAAAAATGTTGACAAATTTACATCAGACAATCTAGAAAATTTTAGATCAGAATTTAAATCCAGAAAATCCAGATCAGCATTCACATTTCGAAAAATTTATATCTTCCCGAAAAAGGGAAGCTCATCGTCGACAAGATTATCACAATCCCGAACAAAACATGCAATCAAAGAAAAATATAGCACTGTACTCACTGCAGTTCCCTGAATGGCGGGAATTTCCATGAGTGCACGAAGGAAAGCAATAAAATCAAAGAGCAACAATGAATCGATGTTTTCTCTTCATTTCGTAAAAAAAAAGAATATTCGTGATTTTCAATCTTACTTCAAGAAATCAATACAGTATTGTCATTATGGCTTCTCTGTATAACGCAGCAATTTTGAGTCGAACTATAACTATTTCATAAAATATAATTGACAGCACGAAATTTCAAGTTTTACTATATTTTTTCGTACTTCATACGCATAGAACAAATTTCTTTCCAGGAATAGCTATTTACACGTACAGTGCTATAAAGATGTACAATAAAAAGTTGCTATCACAGAAAAAATCGAAAAAGTAGAACTGACACTTACAGGTCGCATAGTCCATGTGATACCGCACAGCAAGTTCAGGGTGATTCATGGCCTTGAGTCGAATGACCCTGCGTTTATAGTAGCACAGTGCTGCCAAAGCTGCAGCCAGGATCACCACCAACAGCCCAACGATCACACTAGGCACGCTGGTAGACGTGACCTCTTCTCGTTTCATTGTGCTTTCAGCAAAAGTCGGGACATCGCAGTTGGCACCTTCATAAATATACGATAGTACAATATTGTAGTCGAATCGGATTCAACTCAAAAAGGAGATTCTTTACAACGGAAGATGTGATTCTTTATTGAGTTTCATTCGTCTCATCAAATGCTGGAGATCTAAAATGGGATTTTTTCTTGGCATTTCATGCGTTCAGGTAATCAGACACACTTACAGACTTCGATAAATTTACCGTATTTTACTCCAGTACCACACGAGTTGGTTAAGTACGACGCGCACGTTAGATTTTATAGCAAAAATGCTAGCGAACATCTTGAAAATTCCTATATGAAAAACTGGTGAGTAAAATGATACAGTAATTGTAGTAGATCAAAATTCGAATTCGGTTTTTTTGGTTCATACATACTATATACTGTAGTAGTACTGTATAACTAAAATAGAAAATGTTTCGAATTAAAACAAAAAAGTCACTTGAAATGTTGTATCAACTATGATTCGACGCGCACCTCATTTTTTGCCCGAATTAATTTTGAAAAAATTTGCGCGTTTAATACCCGTTCAATAGCGTTTCCTTTCACCCAAGAATATCACGAGTTTATTCGTTCACTAAATTTCGGATGACACAAACCATTTAAATAACCCACCTGTGAAACCAATTTTACAAGTGCATCCCTCGATCGGATGACATAGGAAATTCGGTCCGCTACAGTTGCAGGTTTCCATGCAGTGATCTCCATACAATCCTTCGGGACAGACTGTGGGAAAGACAGCATGCAGTAAAATCTCATTAGAATCAACGAAATCCTCGAAAGTTGAAAAAAAATGGGACCTAAGAAATAAATTACTTAAAAAAATTACTCGACAAAACAAGGTTTGTTGCAACAAGATTTCCCCGCATCAGGAATTTAAAAGAAAGTATTTCGACAGAAAATATTGCAATCAAATTTACAAAACATATTCACGCGACTTTCAAAAATAAGCCCTTCTGTATTACGAGTAACATTTTCCAGGTTGAATTTTCGTCCTCGGCCTTTTATGGTTATTTTCATTTTTCGGGCTTATCCCTGTTGAAATTTAGAAATCATTTTTTTGAATGACGAATGTTTTTCACCTTCTTCGCAACGTGGACCCATGCGACCCTTGGTGCACTTGCAAACCCCATCATTGGGTCTGCACTGTCCTCCAAACAAACACGCGCACCTGTGAGCACAATTCCGTCCGAAGAAGCCAGCCTCACAGGGCACAGAACAATCGGCACCCACCCAACCCGGCGGACACATGCATTCCCCTGAAATTAAAAAAAAAAATTTTGAAAAAAAATCATAAGAATATATAAGCTTCGTTGCGCAAACTTTTTCGGTACTCATAAATTTACGAGCAACATCCGACGTTCGTCCGAAAAATATACACCAAATTTCTTCAGTACCCCGTGAGTCTCCAGCAATTTTCTTCTTTCGTAATTAATGTTCCACAAGTTCTAAAATACTCTGCTAAGATCTGGATAAGGGATTCCTACGGAAACTACGGAAAAATGTCCTCGACCGCCAAAAAGCTCAAACTAATAAGCGATCGAAAAATCATTCGGCACAACAAAAAACTGCAATCATCAACGAAAATTTGAAGAAAAAAATCCATTGCTCGTAGAGTTTTCACTGATTGAAATTATCGCACAGTAATTCAAAATCTACCCTCTCAACAGTTTGAAAAGCAAACATACCGGTGATGTGATTGCACTCGCCCTTGTTGTCGCACGAACAAACCCCGGTGCAATTGAGTCCGTATTTGTTCTTTGGGCATGGCTCTTCGCACTTGACGCCAGTGTAACCCGCGGCGCAGGCGCAAACTCCCGTGACATGGTCGCACTTGTCAAGACCTAAAAGTAAAAATCAGGCGATAAAGAAAATTTCACCAGAGAAGTGTAAAAGATTAGCATAAAAGCGACGAAATACCTATGAACCCAGCGCGGAAGGAACGA